GAATAGTCGAATGAGGGTTCTTCAACCTGTGTTGATTGCTTTTAGCCGGGCACCCAATCAAGAGCTCCGTGGTTGTTCAGGGCTGTTGAGGGCTCTCTTAACAGTGAAACAACACCGTTCCGCAAGGTCTTTGCTTGTGGAACATCCACATGGAACCTGCTCTTCCTGCGCAATCGGAACATGCACCTTGCCGCCCCAAGGAGGCTGATTTGGTTTGGGGATTTGTTCTTGGATCCGCATGGGTGTAACAACCGTTCGGCGGCACCTCGTACCACCCATACTCGCGCACCCACCGTAACCGGCTTGCTATGTCTGCCTGTAGAATCTGTAGAAGAATGCTTGCCGAATGTGGTCTTCAGTTTCCAGTCGATCTGTGCATAAGGCAATCATGCCCAAACACTGCATATATTACATATGTATGCCATATTTGCCTACATTGGAAGGGTTTCAGGGGTCAATGTAGGCAAATATGCCAGTCCCATGGAGCGTCTGGGATATGTGTTCCATTCCGCATCTGCACCTGCTTCTTCCAAAGAGCTGAAGGCCGATTTCGTCTTGGCCTGCCAAGAATCCAGGAGGAGCGTCTTCGACGCGTGCGTCCTGGTCGCCTCAAACCCAAATGGTTGGACCCGTCTTCGACCACAAATGGATAGACGAACCTGGATATCCACCACCTAGGTTCCCCCCCTATATCCATTTCTCCTGGGAGGGGTGATTCCCTAAGTGGGCACCTCTTACCTCACGGCACCTCTTATCGCTCCGAATGAATCCCGAATCCGTACGCGACACCTCTTACGCAGAATTTCTTCGCAGTATTGGAGCTATAGCCATTGCAAGTCGGAGCTCAGCATTCTTGTTACGAAGAAGCTTCAAGTCGACATACCTAAACAGCTTCCTCTACAGGTGAAACGACTCTACAGGTGAAACGATTCCCAAGGACATGATTGACCCAGCATAACTTGTAGATACTTGTATAGCATCCTAAAGCCATCAACCCCCCCCGCGCCCAACGCCGATCCCACCTTCTTTCCGACCTTAGTGAATTCATGACATCGGCGTCCAGACATGTCCACCCAGCAGAACCCAACTCGAACCCAGCAGAAGCATCAGAAACCGAGCGAAGCCTCCCGACGTGCGAAGCGCGCCGCGCGTCCTGCTCACCGAGAGGCGAAGTGCAAGGCTCCTTTCCTGCGAAGTGCCAAGGCTTTGGGTGAGCAAACATGGTTTTAGGGTTTTTGGGCCCAAAAACTCACAAAGGGTACAAGACCCGGGAGCTTTGCTTCACAGCGCCGGACCTGAACCGCCCAGCTCTCCCTGCGAAGGCCAACTTGTGCAGATCTGCTGGTAGCCTTGTGTCAAACAGCTCGCTGACATTCCCCCATCATGCACATTCCTTTGCGAAGCACAAGCTGCAGGATCCCAATCCCTCCCTCCCTACAACGAGCGACACGCCAACAACCACATGAAATAACGACACCTAAATGGAACAGTCCATAGATCACTTCCAGAACGTCTTCCCAAGCTCCGCCATCCTCCCACCATTCCCAGGCTCAGTCGCCCGCCCCCGGCCCCGTCCTGGACGAGAAAGGACTGTAGAGCATCACCACATCACCCGCCGTCGTGCTGACCTCGCATAGCTTCAGACTCCAGCGAGGTTCTCTGCGGTGGGTGGGGCCCTCGTGCGACGGATCCTACAGGTCCTACGGATCCTACGGATTCGACTGTTGGTGGTCCTTCTCCAAGCGGCCAGGATCTGATTGAGGTCCTTGGGCCATGCCAAGCGCAGCACTGACCTCGGAGCGCGTCCGAAGATCATCCCATGGATGCTGAAATGATCGATGCTTCAGGAGTGTTGTCCTCTCCTGCTTGGGGCTGAAGTTGCCTTCTTCGTGATGCATGGTAAGATGTAACAAGCATCTTCACAGATTCGATGTGGATCATGAAGCAAAACCTGGAAAACCCAAACAACCAGAAACAAACTCCTGGACGTTATGGCTTGCTTAAGCTCCTTTCCATCGCAAGCGGCTGGGACTGACTGTTGTCGCGCTGAGTCCCCGGCTTCTTGCCGAAGTCCAGGCTCTTCGTCAAGGACAAGGTCTTCGTGTCGTAGACCCGCAGGGTGGCGGCACCTGTTCCGACCCAACGCAGCCGTCCAACGACGCCGTTTCAGTCGTCAAGCGACGCGGAGTTCACGATGCGTTGGACCGGAAGAACCCCTTCAGTGTCACCCAGACACCCCAAAAAATCCACATACCTTCTCAGGTTCGGTACGACTGGGCCCTCCTGGTGCCTACATCAGAATAGTCTCCGTCCTCGTACCTGAGGTTCGGTACGACTGGATCCCTAAGAAAGAAACACGAAACCGAAAACCTCCCAACGTCGAACCAACTCCAGCGCCGCAAAATTCCCACGAGCCGCGTTGACACCTCCCAGGTTAGCTTCAACCGGTCCTCCTGCCATACGAGAGAATTGGTCCTCTCCCTGTCGACGAGTCTGCGCCTAGTGCATTCTTGGACAGTGAGGTGCCAGTGACGATGTAGCGCCCATCAGGCGACCTGCGAAATCACCACGGCCGCACGGCTTTCAACGGGCCAGTGGGATCGGCCATCGGAGGCCAGACACCCCGTACGCCGCCCGCCCAACTGGCGGGCTGGTCGTTCGGTCAGATCTTTCTGGTCGTCTTTGTGATTCTGTTCGATTTTTGGTGCAAACCCGCCAAACTCCTCATGATGACCTGCAGCGCCCAAACGGATCCATGTGGCGCCACAAAAACAACACACGACATGTTGGCGCCATGCATCTTTTATCATCTTTTTCTGCCATGCCACACGATCCAAACGTGGGATTTGGAAGTCGCTGAACACAGGACCCAGCTGCAACACATCGCCGTACGTCTCACAGCACTGCCCACACACACACACACCCCTCTCAACGCACGTCTCACGTCTTCCCGTCTTCACGTCCTCACGTCACACCCCTCAGCGCACGTGCACACGCCCGTCTTCTCGTGGGCTGTGCGAAGGTCATCGAAGACCTGCAGAGTCGTGTGCCGTGGAAGGAAAACACCATCGACGTTCCTTGAAACTGGTCGCTGCGAGTCTTATCAATGATTGCCGCAGCATCAGTGTCGCCGATACATCATCACTCTTCAATTGCTTCCCTTCCGAAGTGGAACAAAGACCCACACGGCAAAAAACAAACCCACGCGATGGAAATTCTAGGTCGACCCACACTGCAAATCGAACCCACGCTATGGAATTCTAAAAACACCTGCACATACACTCCCGAAAACTAACATAGACCCTGACAATCGTCGCATGGAAGACGATTTTCCTCTACCAACCAGGGGTTTTCAGGTTCCATGGGGTAGTCTTCCAGAGTGTAAACCAACCAACATGGAATCCTGTGAAGCCATTCCAGCACCAGCGCAGGGTGAGACTCGGAAGTCGGTGACGAACAATGCTTCGCGCAAGACGGTCAGCATGGTTGGCACGTCCGGGGTGTTTCAACGGTACGTCGTTTTAATTGATACCTGGAGCTTCAAAGGGGTGCTCAATGGAGATCCCTACACTACTCCTAAGTAGTGTAGGGGAGTCTATTGGAGACCCGTTTGAAGATGCTGGTATTAGCACTGTTCAACATGCTTCACGATGATTTTTATCTCCAGTCGATGCACTCCAACTCACTGTAGCTCCTTGGAAGACGATCTTTCCCCTGTCAGCACATACTTATACTACGTACTTCCAATGTCAGTGAAGCAGAATCTAGACCCTACAACTGAATATGTCTGATTTGGTTTCCAAAGCCTTATAAGACAGCAACAAGACTCAACAAGCTTGCCATCGACCGAAGAAAACCACCAAAAGACTGAGTCGAGCTCCTCGCCTGTGACAGCCCTTACTCCGCGAGCAGCGTTCAGCAGCGCGCGACATCCGCGAGCACCACGCCTTCACTGGACCCTTGGCATCGGACATCATGCGGCAGTCCCAGATCTGGCGGAGAGTGGAATGGCAGATCTGGACCTATCCGGGGATGATGGGGGATGTTGAATATTTTGAATGGATTGGATTTGTTGAGCTGATTTTGAGTGGTGTTTTCCCAAAAAGGACGCTGTTCTCTTTGGGGGCTTGCAGATGTGAAGATCAGACACGCAGGAGACAAAGACCTCGGCCAAACCATGGCAACTCCTGAACTTCCTTCCTTCCGATCTGCGGCCCCAGCATGCACCATGCTACTTCTGAGATGAATGGGTGCTGGCCACAGTGACTGCTCGAAATCATCAACACGCCCGCCGGTCCTTCATGCTGTTGTCTAGGGAGCCTCAGGTGCGTTTCCGGAAAACCCAGCCTAGTCCCAACCCAGCTTGGAAGTGTAATCTCACAGGACACATCTGTCAAATTCTTTCAACTGCTTACTGTAGTGGATTGAGAGGACCTATGGCACAAACCCCAAATGTCGGTCGTTTAGATAGACCCCCATCTGTCTAGGACATCACGGGGTCTGTGCCATCGAGCCTCTGAAACCACTGTAAGTCCGAAGTCCACCAAGTAGGACTTCAGGCTTCGAGGTTTCGTTTTCTGCCTGAGCATGCCTGAGCACAATGGGCCTGACACCTGCAATGCCTTGTGCTTCTGGGTCAGGCACGGGTGATCAGCATGTTGCACTCCACACCTTCTGGCACGAAGCCCACATCGGTCACGGCGTCACTGTGCGCCGACCGCAAGATCCTGCCAGGCGGCTGGCGGCACAGTCCGGTGGGCTGATCTTCATTAGTTCAGCCCTGAACTACTGGTTGGCATTCAAAACAACATGCTTTACTATAGGGCTGCCGTGGGTTGATCGTGATCTAAACATCATGCATTTTCCTTCGCAGGAAATGCATGAAACAGCCTTCACAGCTAGACTCAAGCACATGGGTACAAAGCCCGTAGACCTGAAAAAAATAGCTCTCCAGCCCATCCGCTGCTAAGCAAGGTACCACACCTCAGCTGCTTCCTGGGGCAAGCTGAGATTTAAAGAAACAACCACAAACATGGACCAAACAGCGGGGCATGCAGCACACTGACTAGGTGTTTCCTCCTCCTCCTCCTCCTCTTCTTCTTCTTCTTCTCATTCCAAACGACAAGAACCTCCTTCTCCTTCTCCTTCTCCACCGACCATTGGACCCGACAGCACGCTTTGCCCCACTGTCCCGGCGTCCCGAAGCACGCGTTGCCCCCGCGCGTTTTGGATCACCCGCCGGGTACGCTTCACTAGGTCGACCAGTCGAGTCTGCACCCCTGGCGCGGTTGACCAGCCGCGGGACGTTGACCAGGCCGGGGGAAGAAACAACAGTTACACTCCCTGGAACTAACATGGAAGTGGACGTTCTGGCCTCTTGGAAGACCCCTTTCCTCTACAAACAGGGTGTTTTCCACTTCCATGTTAGTTCCAGGGGGAGTAGTTCCACAAAAGCACCAAAAGCGACTATCCGATTGTCTCAAGATCGGAGAACCATAGAATCTACATCAGCTAAACATTAGATGTAGAATCTTGAGTATGCCCACTGGACTGCCCACTGGTACTACGCGCTTCGTCGATATGATGAGGAGTGGGGATACTATACACTTGATGTGGAATCTTACTTTTGATTCATCAACCATCACCAGCAGGGGAAGAGGGCCGGGTGTGGATCCACGATCACCATGAGGTGTGGAACAACCACGACCACCTACGTGGTCTATTTCATGCTACTGACGAAAAGAAACGCGAGCTGGTCCAGCGGTTCAAGCTCACCTTTTTCTTCTTGGATTGGGCCTCAAATGTCTCAAACCATCGGACGGTGTAGGAAAACTGAAATGCCAAGCGTGCATCCTTCATTCCATGACATTACCTTACCAAATATCCACATACCTCCTTCGAGGCCGTTCGTGTTGTCTCATGCCACAGGCTTGGACCTTCCATGGCATACGGTCACTTGGAGTCAGTGGTTGATGTCACAAGCACAAAGTGGCACATACAACTGATCCCCAAGATCCCCACAGAGGGACGGCTCATAGGGATCCCCAAGATCACATACAACTGACAGCCCCACATACAAGATGTTTGAGACATTTTGTTACCTTTTGAGTTGTGAGTTTAGATGTAGCCAAGAGGACTGGTTTAAAAAGTTATTTTTTTAATGATTTTTTTTATGTTTTCAATATGTTTCTATTTATGTTTTTACAAAGTGGTGTTTTTTGGTTTATGATATTTTTATGATTTTTTTAATGTTCTCTTTTATGTTTTATTTTATGTTTTTAATATGTTTTGTTGAAGTGCCTTTTTCATGTCTTCCCTTTAGCGTTTGTGTTTTTCTTGCTATCTTTTGGCAAATTCACCAATCGTTTTTGGCCTGTGGTTGAAGGTCCGTTCAAGGTTCATTGGTTTGCGAGCCAAATAAATATCAAGTATGTAGAAGGCCTGCAAAGTTTCATGTCCGTGATGTGATTGATAAGGGCTAGTGTAGCTCAGGACTCGCGAGGGCCAAAGATTGAAAAAACGGAGACGCTAACAATTAACGACTGAACTGATAGGATTCTAAATCTCAGACGTGCAAAGTGTCACGTGGCCTTGGGCCAAGGGCAAGGTTTCGCGGCGTTACTTGCAGCTACGTTGGTATAAGCCACCAGGCATTTAGCAAATAGAAGCAAGGGAATATCAATGGCAAGTTCTATGCTGGAGACACGGTGCAAAAAACCAAGCAGTGCGCAAGGTTTAAAGTGTTTGACGCCTTTAAGCCTTTAAGTAAGAAGGCTTCAGTTTATGCTGATTCCCTCAAGCCTGTGAAGGCTGTGCCGTACTCAGGGCCACAGGGAAGGAAAGGAACAGGACTTAGCGTTTGCTCCCCTGGCTAGCTCTAGGTGACCTCCCACCTGCCTGGGACTTCGGACGCGCCAGCTCTCCAGGGGCCACTGCGCAACCTGCAGACCTAGCCGCCGCCTTCCCAGCCACCGCGCTGCGTCCTACCCCAGCCGCGGAGGCGCGCCGCACGGAATCATTAAAAAAACATAAAAAAATCATAAAAAACATAAAAAAATCATAAAAAAATCATAAAAAATCATATCAAAAACATAAAAAAATCATTTTAAAAAAAATCTCCGAACCAGGCACATTTTTCAAAATTTTTATGATTTATTTATGATTTTTTTATGTTTTCAATATGTTTC